TCTTAAGGGATCTTCTCTGCTATGTTTTCAGACACTTAAAATAATTCAGTTGCAGAAACGAGCCCTCTTAAGCCAGGCTCACACTGCAGGATAATTGGGCCGATTTAAGGTCCGATTCCTCCTTCCCGATAATCGTTCCCGACTCAAGGCTGCTCGGAACCAATTAGATCCAATCTTGGAAGTTCCGATCTGCCTGGGGAAGCCCTGATTTATTTCAAACATTTTTGATATTTAGCATTTAAAATCTTGAAAGGCTCTGGCAGAAGTCGTGTGTGAGTAATATCACGAGAAAGACGAAGGAGGACAGTAATAAGTGTAGTAGTGGCGACCGGCGGCAAGATGCAACACGTACAGGTGGGAAGGACAACTGTAATGCATCTGAGAGTTACAATCTGACCTCTGCTCCAGTTCCCACTGAAGAATATACAACCCGTGTTTTTTCCTCTCTGCACAAAGCATTATAATCGCAGATTTAAGATTATTCTATTGTTTACTTGTGGTCACGTGAGGTGGTGCATTCCATCGTCGGGCACTATAATCCCGTATTCTGTGATGTGCCACGATTTTCATATTTTATAGTGTTAGCATGTTTTAGATTATGGAGAATAAAATCTGTTAGGATTGTGTGTGATGCTACTCAAATTCAAAATCAGGAAGGTTAAAAACTCCTGCAGTCTGAGCCAGACTTTAGTGGACGTTCTTTGATTTGGAACATTTGTCCTGGACATTAGGTTGCAGCCGTTACACCTTTCTCAGCGACTGCCAGTTAAAACAGTCAACTGTCCACATCTATTAGACGTTTAGAGGCGAAAACATTTAAAAGTAGGGCCAAGGTTTTAAAAAAAATACAATACAAGAAAGGCATTTGATAAAACGCCTGAGAACATGCCAGACACGCACAGTGAGTTCTTTCAAACATCACATTTGTATTCATCTCAAATTGCTGGCTGACTCCTACACACACACACACACACACACACACACACACACACACACACACACACACACACACACACACACACACACACACACACACACACACACACACACACACACACACACACACACACACACACACACACACACACACACACACACACACACACAGAGAGAGTGATAGACACACTGACCGTATGTGTCTGGGCTAAATTAAGAGGAGGGTGATAAATGGGGTGATGATAGCAGGAGTGGGGGAGATGGAGTCGGAATAATCAGCCATCCAGAATTAATTAGTCATTGAAAACAGTGATTAACATTCAGAGTGAGAGCCTTTCTACTCACACTCAGCTGATGGCTCTGCACTGCCTCAAAGAGACACACACACACACACACTGAACAATTGGATGCATTAAAGACTCAATGATTAAATAAATTACTAGCATGCTCAGGTGAGTTTCCCACACATACACACATACACACATACACACACACACACACACACACACACAAATACAGTTCTACTGATTTATTGTGTGTAATTGAATCAATGTGACATGCTAGTTACCCACAAAACACATCCATACACAGAAGAATTACACTTCTCTGGATTCCATCAACACGTGTGTGTGTGTGTGTGTGTGTGTGTGTGTGTGTGTGTGTGTGTGTGTGTGTGTGTGTGTGTGTGTGCATGCATCCCTACAATCTACTGTCCATTGTCCATGGGAGAGTACACAGCAGTACAGCGAGTACTGAATGATGCTTTTTTTGAACCCTCATCTTTTCTTCGCAGTAACTTTATATTCCATAAGTACGATGAACACTGAGTCGAACCGGCCCCCCACCCCCATGTGTAAGAAGACCTGCTCTTGTTGTTGCTTTTTTAAAGAGACACTGTGTTGATGCACCACATTTATTAGCTTGATGTTGTCTAAGTTGGACATGGTTTTTCAAACTAATATATGGCTGTAAGTCTAATGCATAATCAAATTTAACTTTGAAAAGTGAAAAACTATTGTCCTGTTCCCAGTGTTCACTAGTCTAACTTTAACGTCCTGCTCTCGTCTACCATCTATTAAACAGAGACACTCTGCTGTCTACAGCCTGAATCCACGGGAATGTAGGAAAGGTAAAGTAATGTAAAAACAATACTAAAGCATTTATTATCGTACTTCCCTGCTGGTGTAAGCATTTGTGAAGGTGTGTGTTTGGCCCTCTGTGTGTGTGTATACCTGTATCTGCTCAGGAGTCCACTGGTCCAGATTGACAGATTTGACTCTGGAGATGTGGACCCCAGGTTGCGGTGGATGCCCGCACAGCGGATGCACATGAACACTCCGAGGTTCCATGACGCCCACCGAGGACCTGAAAGATTCAAGAGAGAGTCGCATTGTCAGTTTCCTGGAGATTCCCACCCCCATCCCCATCCAACAGTAATGCAAAAATAGGAAAAGAGTTCCATCCATAGTTTGGACCAACAGTTGGACTGACAAGGGGGCTTCTGCAGAGTGCAGCATCATGCAGGGACAGTACAGTCGACACACTCAGAGTACAACAAGAGCTCAGGAAGCTTATATAAAGAGATAAAAGCAGAACAGCACAAACATTTCAAAACACACACACACCAAATTCTAGGTTATTCCTAACATTTTGAAGTAGTTCTTATCAACATTGCTTGAAGGGTAATCTCCTTAACCCCTTCAATGAGAGTTAATGGATTCTACAAAGCTTTCCTATCATTTATAGAAACTTTTTTATCACAGTTTTTCTTCTATCAGTTATGAGTCTATTTGAAGTGTTTTAAAAAAAAAAATTGTTTAAAAAATGGTCCCATCTTATGTCGGATAACTTCGTATTTTAAGGTCTGTTCAAATGTGGTTTGTAATTTCTAAGGCTGAAGAATCATAAAATGTGTGAGCGCTTAGTGTATGCCTCTCATATTACATTTCCTCGTGATCAAAAGCTAAAATCCAATGCAACTGCTGGGAAAAAACAACTTTATATGAAAGGGCACATTGAAGCATTAGTAGACTCATTTTCAAAAAACCGTCTTGAGCTCAAGCAGAACCTTTTATTAATCTGTACAGTTACCTTACAAAGTGTCAATTCAAAGCAGACAGTGATAAAATGATTCATTGCTTATGGTTTGTTTGAAGGTTGAACTTCAGAGTAGCACTTGTTTTGAACCAAAGTGATGAAACAAACATGAATAGAAATGTTCGTCTTTTGTGGATGGATGGAGGTCACTGCAAAATAATAACCAACAGAGGGTTACATAAAGGGCCTTGCAGAGGACATCAGGGAACCAGAAGACAAGAAGAACCCCGAGCCAGACACACAAAAGACTTTGATTCCTGTTGACACACAATTGTGCAATGTCTGTTGAGAGGGTGGAAGAGAGGGAGAACTATCCCACAAGCAGTTGCCTTCATAGGGGTCAGTCTAAAGCAGGGATACTTGAATTTCTTGAATTTTAGAAAATGACATCAACCTTCTGTTGAGTTGAATTGACTTGTTCATGTGTGGTGTGGTGTGGTGTGGTGTGTGTGTGTTTAAAGATTGTGAATTCTCTTTAAAATGTTGAAGTTCAGGTAAAGGGGCCGCCAATGGAAATCTTTGTCCAAATGCTTCATGCATCATTAAAGAAAGTCACTTGTTTTTCCAACCCTCCGTGGGGGGAAACAGGAGACAGCACTGACATGACAGTGGAATCATTTTAATGGGAGAGTGGCTGCAGTCCCTCAGCTTCATCGTTTGGCTCGGTCCGCCTTCCAGAGCATGAAGCTCACTATCTGTCATGTTGACGATTGAAAGCGACTTTGAACACAGCTAGTGCAAAGGATCAACTCTTATGGATCCGGGCTACATAATTGTGGTGCAGCAGGGATGGTTGGATGGCACGGAGTCTACTGGGCCTGCCGGTCTTGGGTAAGAGCATCGATGTGTTAATGCAGTGGCACTAATGCGCTAGACGGCCCAGAGGAGCATTAAGGCAGGGATGACTGAGTGTTAAGCCTAAATCAAGCAGCTCAGCCATTGTAAGCTGGACTCTATCTGTATGGATTGGACTTCACTTTGGCTGCTCTTAGATAACCTCTTTCAGCACATTCTGCAAAACAAATACAAATACTTTTCTTAGCCGAGCTCTCATCTTCAGTGAGATAGCACTGCTATGAATGCAGAGGCTGGAGATCAATTTTTGATTTTACGCAGATCATCCTGATAAAATGACTTTCTCCTCAATAGTAAGTTATCATAATGGAATCTCTTTGCCTACCAGCTTTGGATTTTTTTTTTATGTCGGTGGCAGAATCAATGGAGGTGTCCAGCGAGGTCTGACAGTATTTCCAAAAGTGAATTGCTCACACAAATTAAACTCCAAATATAAAGTGTGCTATTGTAGAAAGACATCTGCTTCTGATCTGTGGCAGGCCAATCACATTCACTCTGTAGTCTGTACCCAGCATGCACTGGTGCTATTTGATGCTTCAACTGGTGAGTGCCAGTTTCAGGAGATGACAACCAAAAATCTCTGAGACGACAACCAACAATCTCTGAGTTACTTAGTACGATCTCATTATTCCCCTCTTTAGGCAGCAAAGAGATGTCATAGATTTAATGTAAAAAAAAAAATGCTTTATATTTCATAAATTCCTTAAATATTTCAGATTCTCAGACAGGAACCTCCTTATTTGTTCCCGCCTTCCGTCTATTTGGCTTGACTGATTAGACCTCTATGAATGCATGCATCATCATATGTGACAGGAAAAGAAGGTGGAGCAGAGAGGGAGAGAACAAGAAAGAGAAAAGGCCTTGTCACAGTGAAATGATTCAAAATAAGTGACAAGTTCACCAGTAAGGGTAAATATAAATAACCAGGTTAGTCTACACATACCCAGCATGGCTAGCTAAGCAGCCAGACTAATAACAGTGTGACAAAACAGTCCTTAGGCAACACAGTGAGCACGTCTCTCTGTGGAGGAATTAAATCATATTAATGAGTGCAACAGAGCGACCACATAACATTGAAGGCAGCGTGTTTCAACCAGTCAAAACTTGGTAATTACTTACTGGTTTCTCTGAAACAGCTGTGGAGAGACTATAGCTGGAGTAAAAGAACATTTGTTTTGAGTCCAAACTGCTTTACAGTGGGGGTTTTTGGTACAGATTGGTATTTTGAGACAGGTGAATAAAAGTTTGTGTTACACTGTTGTACCATCGGTTTAACTAAATGTGAAATGTAGAACTAAGAAAAAGGAGGTAGTTATATGCACATCATGCATGTGCAGGGCAGTGCTAAATCAGCAGACTTAAGAAGAAGATAGGCCCGCACACTTGCTAAAATGCCACAAAACGTTTGAATTGATCACACCAGAGGTCTTCTGCAGCATTTGCATTTGAGCAAGTGTGCAGGCCTATCTTCTTCCTGAATGTAGAACTAAGGACATAGTCAGCCAACACAGTTAGTGGTTCATGTCCATGGGATGGACGCAAACTCCCGGCATGAATTAGTATCTCAGTCCGCCTGGCCTGGCCCGCCACAAGAAGGTCATCAGGAGTGGGAATTAACACCTGCAGACTTGTCTAAAAGCTTGAAGATAATCTTTACCTAAAGCAGTCGGATCTTCAACTTGCTGATAGGTAAACGTCAGGTGCTGCAGGTTGGAAACTACACCATCAACACAGGGACCCAACAAAGGGTGACCCGAGCCCCTCACTGTTCATGTAAAACTTTAGTGGCATGATAAAAGCAACTTTTTAAAATAGTTGTAAATGTGGAGGATGAATTCAGCTGTGATTTATGAGTGCTGACCGGCTGCTTGGATAAGCAGTAACGTCGGTTCTGAAACATTAAGCGTCTGTTCATCTGTGCCTCATGTTGATAATTCAGTTTCAATAACAGTTTTATGATGCTATTCATCTTTACACTCGCTCTGCACCGAAGTTTGGATAAAAATAGACGGCTGAATTGAGTTCTCTCAGTAGACATGAGCTCTGCAGTCTCTGCACACACAGAATACAAACACACCAATGGTAATTTGCAGACTGCTGACCTGATTAGACACAAATGAGATCTACTCATAGACACCCACATGCACATCTTCAAACACATCTTCAAGCACTTTCCAGTAGGTAATTTGAACACGTCCTGCAGAGTGCTTTAAACATAGGCACACTCTTGAGCCTGACTGCCTGCACAGAGGATACACCCATGCAACATACTAGCCAGTTCAAACTGGATTTTACTGACAAAGACATCAGTATCATGAAGGTCCACCATACAGCCTCAGATCCAACATACAGTACTATAAATGTCATACAACTCCTATCTTATATCACAGGAGGTCTGCTACGAATTACAGATCTATAAACGATGGCTGCTACTGGCATACTGTTGAATACAAGCGGTAACCTCAGGTGTTGAAAAATGAAGCCAATGCCAAGTGCAAAATCCTGCAGTTCATCGAGGGTCCGCTTGAGGCTCGCTCCAGGAACACCAGAAGTCACATACACACCACATCCATTTATCATTCACTCACAGTGTCCAGTGATTCTCACTCAGCATGTGTACATCTTACTCATTGGATGAAGGCCTGAATATAATGTCCATGCTTCACACCATTTTAAGTAGCCTTCACATTAGTTTGTGCCTATTTATGAGTGCAAAAAGTGGATTTAGATTTTTTTTTTTTGTTCAGGAGAGCGGAGGATCATGTTTTAAACATATTGTGTTAAACATTAATAACAGCAGAAAAACATCATATTGTGAATAATATGCATTATGCACTCCATATTTTTGTTTATTTGTTGCATTTTAGATAGCAGGCCTTGGTAACGATCTGCATTGCTCTTTAGGTGATACCAGAGAGAGAACGTGATGTGTCAAAATGTTCTCCGTACAGGATTGTTTATCCCTTGGCTTGTGTTTATGCTCCTTTGCAGTTATGACTGACTGTTAAAGTGACTGTTAGGCTGCAGTAATCAGTGTGACTTTCCTTCTCTGTGTTTGACAACAGCAAAGAGAGGGCCCACAACAATGACATCAATCACAGGACATCGGGGTGAGTTTTTTTTTTTTTAGACTTTAAAGGGAACGAACCTGTACTTCATTTCGACTGAATCACAAGTTCAAGAATCAAATTCTTATCCGGAGGGGAAATGAAGGCATCAGAACCTCTGTCATTAAACCAAGAGGCACACCTATTTTTAGACCTTTATGACTCACTCCACCAAAAATATACTCACAGATACATGTTTCTACCTACATGGATAAAAACAGAAACACACCTAACTGAGAGATATCCCAGCCTGCAGACCCTCAGACAGACACACACCCTGGAGGCTCCCTGAGTGACAGCAGAAAG